CAGCGGTATATATACCATCGTCAACACACTATGTTGGTTGACACCGTCTACTCAATTGTTTCTGACTGCTTTTCCCTCCTTTTTTCTTTCATAATGTCTAAATACGCTGCCTTTGTGAACTGTGTGAAAACTACATGGGTGGGAACCGTGCGGAGCCCTCGAACTACCGTCCAATCACTCTCCTCCCAGTGTTGTGCAAAGTAACGGAAGGTACAATGGCAGAGGGACTCAGGCGATACCTTAAGAGCACCAACATCACATCCTTCCTGCAGCATGGATTCCGCCTAAACTAGTCAAGCAGCACGAATTTGTTGCTAGCACTAGCAAACTGGACATAATCAGTCTATTACGGAGTAGGAATTGATATCATGTACCTGGATTTCTCCAAAGCGTTTGCTTGTCTGGACCACCGCATTTTCCTTCACAAGTTTCGAAGATGCGGAATCGGTGACGCCTTGCTGGGTTTGATAAGCAACTTCCTCATTCAACGTCAGCTGAATATGAGATATAAACTTCCATTTCCGACTTAATTGGCGTCCAGTGTGGCGTGCTCCAATGATCGATACTGGGGCCACGTTTATTCATAGTATTTATTATCGATCTTACTGATGTCTTGCAGCCAAAGTTCATGTTGCTTGCAGACGATGTCATAAGCTGGCGTGAAATTCAGAGAGTGAAGGACCACCTGGTACTACAGAGCGATATCGGAAGGGCTTATACGTGGTCATCCAAAAAACGGCTTCATTCCAACGGGACGAAATGCAGAGTTGTGTGCGTACACCATTAGTCCACTTATGAATATCGACTTCAGGATCATCAGTTTCAAAGTGATTCGCAGAAAAGCGACCTCAGGGTGATTGTAAATAATGATATTGGCTACTCGAGATAGGCTGGAAAGTTAGTGCAAATAGCCAGTAAAAATTTTGGACTCTTAGAGGGAGCTATCTGAAATTTCGTACTATCAATCTTTCCACAAATACTGAACGCGTACCTTAGGTCCCACGTGGGATATGCCATCCAAGCATCCAGGTGCAATCGCGACGTCGATGCACTTGACGCTACCCAAATTAGAGCGGCCAAACTTGTTAGAGCCTGTATCGCCTCCCCTACCATAGCAGGCTTCAGGCCCTGAGATTAGAGTGGTGAATATGGACATCAGCTAGGAGATCTCATCATGGTTTACTTAATATAGACGAGCTCAATTCACCCATGTCTTTATCCGTTGCTGCTGAGTCGAAATACCAGACTGTAAGGCCACCAGCTCAAAGTACTCACGCAGTATAGTAGACTTGATTGTTAACAAAATGCTTTTTTACTCCTGGTATTCCGAACATGGAACGCCCTTCCAACTCACGTCATCCTTGCCCCTACATCAACGCTTTTTAAAAGTGCCTTGATGATACCCTTTCCTAATTGCATTACTTGATGTAGCGCAGCCCATTTGGAGAACGAAATATCGAGAACTAAGCTATTTGCTTGGCAGCCCCCTCCTCAGCGTGGCAGTACGGATACAAGCATAGGTGTCCTAAACTAGGTTAACGTATCAAATCGCTCACATTAAGCGGCAAACGAGTGAGAGTTTTCATTTCCCTTTTTTATTTCTCACGGGGTAAGTGAAATGCTCTCCATACTATCTTGGTGTGTACATTACATTCCCATTTCAAGCTATCGTTATGTAGCAGTGCAGTTAAATCCGTAAACGCTTAAAATGACGATTTACTTATTTGTTGATACATTCCCTTTTAATTTGTACTCCAATTATCTTACGGGACTTGTCAAGCACATGCTTTTTCACCCGTGAGAAATCAATGAACATTTTTCTTTATACCAACGCGCCTCTGCTCAATATATCAACCGACCTTCATAGTCTTCAAATTGCTACTACTTCGGATGTAGTCATGGTAACAGAAACATAGGCGAATACCGAGAGCACTGATGCAGGGTTATCTCTAATTGGCATGATTCTCTTACTAAACCATCGAACCAGTACAAGACACGGAATGCTCTTTTCTTGCCGATCTGGCCCACATTTTGTATAATCGACAATCCAGATATGCAAGTTATCACTTCTGTCTGGTGATATCTGTACCTGAAATGTGGAGATACGTGTTTACTAGCTATAGTTTACTGCCCTCCAATGTCAATCCGAGAAATGGATCACATCCTGGCATTCGCAATGCAGCCAGCCCTGGTGCAACCATCCAGTACCGTCCCCCTGAAGACGGACTTTAACCTGCTCGTAAAAGTAGTCCCTGCCACTTCCAGTGAACAATACAGAACTGACTTCCAAGAAATAATCGTCGGTTTATATCCGTACAATCACGTCTTCTAATGCAATTCAGATTTGGTGACCAACCATCTGGTTTAGACTTTGTGCTACCAACGGAGAAATAATGATTGATATTTACTGCGTGGGCGTAACGATCATACCACACGGCTCTTCCGTTTCATACGCTACGCTGAATAGATTTGTAAAAACAATGAACAAGTCAGTTGGAACCCGTCACGACATGCTGTTCGACCTCATTCAAGAAACTAACTGTTCCTTCGTAGCCGAGCAGGTTCCCGATGTTGTTTGTAAGGAATTTGCCATCTGTTCAGTGAGCTATTGGTAATTGCTTCGGAAAGCGAAATCCTTCGCCCGAAGTAAACTATGTTCTACCCGAGCAGCCAGACCAGCAAATGCATGCTCCTTTAGGGATTCAGTCTGGCGCGCTGGTAAAACTTGCCCGAGTTTGCAGTCCTCAATAGTTGGTTCGCGAAGACAATTTCCGGCACCAACAGTACTTGATGACAAAATTCAGTATACTACTAAACTGCCGTTCAGACACGTTAACAAGCTCCGAAAAGTGCAGTGGGGAATGCCAGCTCTAGATGTAGCAGATGGACTGGTGATAACAACACAGGAGGTGGCAATCGCACTCCGGCAACACTCCAGTCGCACTTTCCAGAGTGAATCCTCATCTAACCCCCGTCTGACACAGCTCCCAACGCCCCCAGTTTTAATTCAGGTTTCGTACGCGGCAGCAGGTCGTGCACAGCTCTCCTGGCGAGGATTACATCAAATCAAAGGCATTGAAGACAGCCGCCATAAACGTCTTCGGACCGTTAGATCGCTTCTTTAAAAGTTGCATTGGTGAAATCTATGTTTAGACCATGTGGAAGCAGGAAATAGTCACTCCTCTTTACAAGCGGGTGAGCCGTGCGCAGCCCTCTAACTACCGTCTATTCACTCTTTTCCCCGCGCCATATAAATGTATGGAAGGTATTATCGCAGAGCCATTCATGTGATGCCTTGAGGGCAACAACATACTATTCTCCCATCAGCAAGGATTCCGCTGCAATCCATTTCGCACTACAAACTTGCTGCTAGCTAGTGCAAGCTGGAAGGAATTAGCATATGCCTAACTGGGAAACAACGTCGACTATTAACAATACTTTAGCCCTTTCCACCGCTTGGACGACTGCATTCTCCCTCAAAAACTTCGAAGATATGGAATCGGCAAACCTCTGTTTGGCTGGACAAACAACTTTCTTATGGAACGTCAACTAACTGGGAGACTTTCAGTGCTCTCTCCGACCCAACTGATGTCCAGTGTTGTGTGCCCCAAGGATAGGTACAGGGTCCCCGTTTGTTCATACCGTTTATCAACTACCTTCTAAGTGTGGTCCGAGCACACACCTTGCAGTTTGCATACGATCTCGACGTCTGGCATGAAATCTATAAAGAGGAATTTCAAACAGCACCGCAGTGAGATCTAGGCAGGGCCTATCCCTGGTCATCCGAAAATGACTCCAATTTGAGGTGACGAAATGGAAAGTTATAAGTATGCGCCATCAGCCAACTCATGAATATTGACTTGGGGACCAACAGTTGTAATGTGCTCTTAGGAATACGACCTCAAGGTAATCGTGCAGGCTGAAAATGCATCGAGTAGAGCCATTTAGAGCGTTAGACCCTTGCGGAGGACTTTCGGGAAGTTTCAGCCATCTATCTTTCCGCAAAAGCTAAACTCCTACATGGGGCCCAAAGTGGAGTACACGATCCAAGCCTGCCGTCCCTGGCGCAAACACGATGTTGATGCTCTAAAGCTTCACTACGTAGACAGATCAAATCCGTCAGTGGATGGCTGCACGACTCCTTCCACCGTAGACAGATGTGAATATCGGTTAGTGAAGAAACTTCCTCATAGTTTACTTAATACTGACGAACCCAAATCATGCTTATGGATCTGCCACAAATCAGCCACAATACTAAACAGAGTTCACCAACTCAAACTAGCTATGCACTACGGTCGACTTGTTTGTTGACACAATCTTTTCTCCTTTTGCGTACCTAGAACGTGGAACGCCCTTCCAACTCACGTCATTTTGGCCCCAACATCAACGTTTTTCAAGAAACATCTTGAAGACATTATCTCATTTGCATTATATGATATAGTCAGTTTCAGCCAAGAAGAATAAGTAACGCGAAACAAAAGATATACTTAGCAAACCTCTCCAAAAAGTTGTGCTGAGAAATTCTAATAAGTATTCATATAAACAGGTTGGTGAGTCAATTAGAACCCTAAGTTTCCCCCTTTGTATGTTACGTTTTGCTTTTAGTTTAATAATCATTACTCTCTTTATCCTACGGGACCTGTAAAGCAACAACTTTTTCGCCCGTGGTAAACTACTCTTCATTGTTCGTTATAAATTGCAATACCAGTGGTCAGCGGCCAGACTTGATTTGGTACGGCTTTAATATCCGTGGTTTCATATTATTTGCCTTTGACCAGTTCACATAACGATGTTGCCCCTCTACCTACTTTCATTTTCGAGCTTTTGTTTCAATTTCTCCATGTTCTATTCTTTTTGGTTTAGGTTGGGGAAAGAGGAATATTGGAAAATGGATCCACCGTGCTCAGACGGACATATAACACTAAGTTGAAAGCAAAATAGTAATGTTTTACCATAAAAATAACAAGGTTACACTGTTCATTTGTTAGTTACGCAATCCGCGTGTTCATGCAGGCTCGAAAATGTCTCATTTTCAGCTCAGCGTCACGAAGAGTACGCCGAAGTTCCCCATATTCTTCTGCAGTATATGGTCGTCGGGGCTTTTTCCCACTCTGTTGTAAATGTAGCAAAAAAGTTGACAACAGTGACTGCAGTGTCATTGCTACTGTTTCGCTGCCTTATTGTATGAGATCTGGTTTGGGAAAATTGCATCGGGATTTCGAATGCGAAATTCACAAGGGAGATGGAACAAGTTAAAAGCATTAAGACAAGACTAGTTTAAATCACTATCATACAATCTCAAAAGCACTGCACGGCCATTTCCCTATTTCAAGATATGTCAGTAAGCTGTTTTTCCTCTGCCCCGTTCGTGTCTGGCAGCGGATATCACCTCTCGCAAGCTCATGCGTTCTATAGCCACCTAAGAGATGGGATGTTCGTCTTATTGTTGTCTGCCAACACTATTTACTTGTTTACTATCCTGAGAAAGTTTATGCCATACACCAACTTCCGATTCAACAGCTTGTACATTCATGCATCGTATAAGTACAGAACCGATTGGAGTGGCCCTTCTGAAAGAATCGTTGTGTGTGAATGGATCGCGACACGCAATCTCACTGTAGGCCGCGATTCCCACTGGACTGAGCCTTGGTTAATTCGATCACTGTGACTGCAAGCGATGGAGCGGCTGTACGACGGATTTTTCCCACCCGATAGCCCTACATCCTACGGCCGGCCTTGGTCTCACCGGATGGGTGGATGTCGAACCCGCGACCATTTGGATGTTAACCCCTAAACTACCGAGTCAAGGTGGGCGATGCTTGTTACAACGGTAAATGTCTGATTGGCTGGATACTTTCGTAACACAGGTTTCACTGCGTGACTCAGTGGGATTAGGGTAGGGACTTTTCAACCCATATACAAATAGCCCGTGGTTCGATGTTGTTATCTTTAATCTGATGAAACCAAATAATTTCGAGACAGGCTGTGGATTGCAGTGGCCTCGCGCCAGCAACACCCATTATTCATCTGTTTCATGAATTACAGGCACGGAGATAAATTGACCATGGTTCACTTCAATGGGAATCGTGGTCTACGTTGAGATTTCGCGTTACAATCCGATCACACAACGACTGCCTCAAAAGCACTCGCCAATCAGTCCTTAACCGTTGTCTCAAGCGTTGCTTGTCGTGACTTGATGGCTTAAAGTCAAAGATTTCGGCTAAAGTCTCAATGACCCTGGATTCGATGCCTGCCACCCCGATCCGTTTAGGCCTAATAATTTCGTAACCGCGGGTGTAGTAGTGCTTTTTGAAGAGACGCGCAATACCCAGCTACAAAATATATTCATTACAATTCAGCGTGTGAATTTGAGCTTGTGCCGCCCCCAGGACATTACTAGTGAAGCGATTAACCGGACCGTACCACAATCGTAATCACTTTCATTGATCAGCCGGCTGCAACTGACGGTGCTACCAATCAAAAGCCAAGTCATTGAGTTCTGAAGCAAATGGCTCTGAACGGCCATTATTATTTGAAGGCGATTCATACCGACTCTGCTTTTCAGAGTAGCTAACAATATGTACCCAATCCTGGAAGTGTGAAGATGAAATGTAATGCCGTTGTTGACACGGAGCTGAACACTCATTAGTTAATACCTTTGCTCTACTTTAAATTGCAACGCTAGGTCCCATTATACGCAACTATGACTAGACTTGTTGTGTGCATACTAATTGAGTGGGATCACGTAGCACATCAATTAGTAGGATAAATACCTAGTCAAACATGATACACATATGAGTAGTTATCATGCAAGCATTCTAAAAAGTACATTGATGGATTGCTCGTATGCCCACAAAAATGGAATCAGTCTCCTGATTTTATTCCATATCTCGTCCGGTGAAAGAGTATTTCGCTTATCCAATGGAACAATGGTATATTACGGGCAAAAAAGCGGATGCTTAGCAAGTCCCGTAGGATGACAAGAATGAGAACGCCAACATGGTGAATAGAAAACAAAGGGATGAAATGAAAATTGTTTTGGTGGACTCACCACAATGTTAATACGGAGGCACGAGGAGCCAACCACAGTTGTTTAGCTTAATTCAGGTTGTGCAAGGTTCATCGCATTATATCGTCTGTCGAAACCCACAGGCCCCATTTGGTAGTGTAGGTGGGTTACGGCAACCTCAAGGCGTTATTTAAACACAGGTAAACTGGGGGCGGAAACAAAGTAATTTGGGAGGGCGTTCCAAGGCTGACACACACGAAGAGAGTAAAAGTTAGGTCGACATTCTAGCCGACTGTATTGCTTGGCTAACTTGTACTGGTAACCCCTCAGATTCGTGTTGTGACTCAGTTGTAGTAGGTGGCGATAGACGTGGTTGGGGCTTGTTAAGAATCTGGTTAGCCATAATAAGATCGTCACCTAGACGTCATACCGGTCACTGTATAATTTTAGGGTCCTCCATCTAAGTTTATAAGAAAGATTGAAAACCCTTTGACGTGCTTCGTAAATCGTCGCTGTGGAGTTTCGAGCGCTGCAATGTCATGCTTGTGCTAGGGCTGCCACACCTAGATCACGTATACCACATGAGGCCACAAGTAGTTGGTAAGCAACTACGAACAGACACAGGGATCAAACCACTCCATTGCCTTTGCAGCATGCCATCATGTTAGATATCCGGTGTTTGATGCCTTCTCAGATTGTTCTGAGCAGCCCAGATCAGCCTGAAGTAGTACCCTGAGGTCGAGCTCCTGGGTGACTACTTGCAGGACATGATCTCTAAGCTCGTAGGTCAGGTTCGGCTGTCAGCTAATGTGAACCACCTTACACTTCCCCGAATTGAACTGGAGCAGATTGTGGAGTGACCACCCATAAGATCTGTCCAGGTCTAGCTGAAGTGCATCGTGATTTTCTTGGTCGGCGTTCGTCCGCCACAGCTTAACATCGTCAGCAAACAGTAAGAAATCTGAAGTAATCAAACGCGTAAGCTCGTTAATGAACACGGGAAATGGATGCGGCCCCAGAACTGATCCTTGTGGAACTCCACATTCGGCGTAAATCCGATCGGACAGCGCAGATCGAACTCTGACCTGTAGTTGCCGAGTCTGCAGGAAATTTCTGATCCACCCAAGGACATGATCAACAACTCCATAGCTTTCGAGCCTGTGAAGCAGAAGGCGGTGGTCCAGTCGGTCGAAGGCTTTAGGGAAGTCGAGGTAACTGACGTTTGTTCCTCTGTCTTCACCAGTCGCTTCCGTCCAACTACTGAGTACAATCAGGAGGTTGTTAGTGCATGAACGGTGCTGGTGGACACCGTGTTGCTCGGCTGCTATGATGTCGTGGCGTTCTAGATGGCCTACTAAAGCCTCAGCAATGATTGCCTCCATCACCTTTGACAGCGCAGAAGTGGGACCACTGGGCGATAGTTGGCAGGTTCCGAGGCATTACACCTTCGGAAAATTGGAGTGATTACGCCATGTTTCCACATGGTAGGCACAATTTGTTTATCCAAGCAAGTTGGAAGAAATGCGATGATGGCCCGGCCAGCGTTGTTGCTGCTACGTTCAGTGCCCTCGGATGAATATAATCGATTCCGGAAGGGCGGTAGGGGCCTAGTGAGAGCAGTTTCTTCAACACAGCTGTGGCAGTAAAATTGATGTTAGTGAGTGTTGAAGCTGGAGATACGGATGTATGTATTCAACCCTGGCGGAAGTCCCTTTGGAACAATGGGACACACTGCATTCATAGGGCGTTGGCTGTCTCACCTGCACTCTGTGCCACTTTGGTTGGCGTGTTAAATGGGGGGAATACTGAGCTTCACCTTCCGGATGGTGTTAACATGCTTGTATAGGAGCCTGTTGTTTATGGCAAATTTACAGGCCAAACGTTGTTGGTGAGATAATTTGTCCTCACGTACAAGCGTTACAATGGTTGCGTTGGGTCACGTAATCTCTCCAGGTTTCGGGACAAGTACGAGCTCTGTAATTGTGCCAGGCTGCGCTCCGTATCGACATGCGTTTACGAGTTCTACTTCTGATGAAAGACAAGGCATTGCTTGAGCGAAACCACTCTGTTTCCGAAGCAGATGCCATTAGCTTGCTGTAGCGTCCAACAAACTGAATCCAAGCGCTTTCCGGTGAGCCACCTTACAAGAACTCCCTATCGGTCATCTCAGCTAGTTTGTTCAAGATGTTGTAATGTGTGATAGTACGTGTTAGTTCTGTGTGTTCCTCAGGACATTCCTGATTGTAATCTACTGATCACTGGCTCGAACCTGCCTAGGTGAGTGCAAGCACAAAGTATTGCAGCCTACAGGCAATGATTGATAGTTTTGTACCAGTAAAGCGTCGGTTCGCGGTGCCCACATCCTGCTGATACCATTTAGGCGATAGTAACGGAGCACGTGAGTTTCAAGTACCTTCATATGCTTTGTCGTATGCCAAACCAGTACTACTGCCCCATGAGTCCGTAGTATAAACTTATTAAGAAAACCAGGCGTTGACGGTTCATCATCGAAACATCCCGACACATCAACAAAAGAACACTTGGAAGCCCGACGCATGTGCACTAGCAACGGAAAAGAAGCAACGCGGACCACGAAATCTCCAGAAGATAATTAGAAGATGTGAAATGGTTGGTGCTTAGGGCTCATGCACACAGTATTTGCCACAATAAGTGGCAGTTCACACCATCAGGTTCATGCATATTGACCATGCACATTAGCCCATTTGCCCACGGTTGTTGCTTTGGGTTATCAGGATAGAGATAACAGTGTAACTGGTGACATCGCATACTTATTCTGTGATCATAATGTGCAAATCACTTATGTATATATTCAACTCCGTGGTCGCTTTCCAGTCTTTCGGAACTAATGCATTCTCCAACGGATCCCTGAGTTTGTTTCCCGAAAGTATGCTCGCAAGGAATCGTTCATCTAACTTTGATGCCATTAGAAATGTTGTCATTTTGGTAAGTGTCAAGTTGTTCCTGTTGACTTTCTGTTATCTTAGTTCTTTGGATTGCATGATATGTTGTAAAATACCAAGCGCACTACGTACTCGAACACAGCCAAGGTGGCGTAATGTTACCAGATTACTGGAGGGTATTTCACACGCAACAATTAAGTAAAATGTCAGCGGTAGCAAGAACTCATAGTTTCTTGCAACCGCCGTTCAAGCTTTAAAACCCGATGGGTAAGTAATCACTTAACCCTTACGTGAAACCTAATCAAGAATGCAACGTCCCACACTGATGACAATAAACATGATGTTAGAACCCAAGGGGCAGGCTGCAACTTGTTTATTGCTAAAGTGGCTTACACTAGATGTGTTCGTTCATACTTTGGAGGCGTCTGCTCATCTGCGTGATTTCCATGCAGTGTTCCCCAACTGGTGCTTGCCTCTGTGTTCACTCCTCGTGCACATGGAACTGTAATCCTGATGTCATCTTCAACTTTGGGGAAGTCGGCAGGGCTCGCTGTTGGTGTGTCATCTTGCACCACCACACTACTTATACCCGGTGCAGTAGTATCTACCTTTAATCCACCACAATGAGATAGTGCACAAGGAACTATACAAGAATATCTTATCTTTCCATGAGGTGAATCACAGACTGAACTTATTAAGCTCAGTTATAAGTAATCTAATAATTGACTCTAACCGTAATCAAAATACTATTGACACTCACGGCTACTGTAAGGGAAGTCTTGCCAACTGAGGGCGGGGCCTATAAATCGGACGTTGCCTTTCTACCGAACAGCGTTTTTTACAGTATCTGCCATACACATCTCAGCTTTGCAAGATCAAACTGAAAGATATTTTGTTCAATCAACTTCCAAGTTCACTAAGACCCTCTACTCCATCATCTTTTGAATATAAAAGTGACATATCGCGCACGATCCGCTATCTACTGTATGTGGACAAAACATTTTGTGTCAACTGAAACGAAATCTTAATTTTCTACTCATTTCTAAACTTTGCATTTTTATGTTAACTTTTTGGTACATTTACCGTTGATAAGGTAAACTGCTAAAAATGCACTCATTTGGGTGCATGAAATGACTTTACTTGTAACCTGCATGGCTGTGGATAGTGGGTCGGACTATATTGCTGTTAGATTGCAGCTCGGGATGGAAGCCTATCGTCTCCCATGGCTCAACGGTATAAGCTGCTAGCTAGTCGTGCATGCCATGGGTTGGTTTTCCTGAAGGGGCCGAGGGAATGCATATCACTGACGAGTCCCAAGAGTACGAAAAGGCTTAGCTGGCTGATAATCTAATTGCGATGAAGTAAAACCTCACTAAATCCTTCTACCCCTGAAGTAACTCAGTTGGCCTAGAAGGTGTCACTATGTCACTCACTGACTGTCCCTCATGACTTAATGGATCGGTCTCAAAATGGGCATTTGCCAACCACTTTATTTTGATCACGACCAGAGTGAAGGTAAATGGTAGATCTCTGCTGCAACGTACAAGCGTAATCCGGATGCAACATGACAACCAGCCCGTACTAATATGCAGTTCGAACAGGCAGGAAAATATTTGAGTAACGTGCACACACAAAGGAAATATATCTCAAAAATACTAAGCAGTAGCCAGTCCCCCTCCAATTTACTGGATCAAAGAAGTATAAGCCCATAGCCTGCCAATGCTGACTACTGATCCCAGATAACCTGGCTGGACGAAACTCCGCAGTAGGGTGTAGGTAGTACCACTTTGGTCTTAATCACGCGGGGCAATGACCCATCAACCTTGATATAAAAGGAAGGATGATATTCTTCTGTGTTCTTGATCCTCGCCCCTCAATTTACTTCCAGTCTACAGCCCCCCTTAATTTGCCTTCCGCGTGTGACACTTCTGATACGCTATTGGGACGCGTGATATTCTCCTTGATCTGCATAACACAATTTATTTGCAAAGGTTCAAATTGAAAACTGCATCTAAGCTACACTGTCAGTAGTCCGTTTGTTGAGCATCCAACACATCTGACAATGTATCTGAGGCACTGATTGGAGCTTCATCTTCCAAAGGCTTCGTGTGCATCACCTATTCAGCATACTTATTCAAGAAGTTCCGGCACGTAATTACAAGTAAAACATCCCAAATACCCAAACAGTAAGTTGCTCAATCAACAAACCATCGCATGTATGGAGAAAATAAATGCTACTGGCAATTTTGTACTGACCAAGCAAACAGCTCCCAAGGTAGCGATTTTGATTCCTTATCAAAACACATTAATACAACCATCATTTACACTCGCGGATAAGACAGTGGTTACTGCGCATTTCGTGCAAGATGCGTTTTAGTATGCGGTGTTGGCGGCGGGACATTGTGGCTGTAAATGGGTCCACTGAAGTTGATACGACTTTAATTCACCAAATTAAGTAGATACATTTTGCTCACCTTTCTACCCAGCTTATCCGTAGGTGTGCTTATCTGCGTATTTCTCTGTTTTGAACGCACTGAATGAGGTGCTACAAAGGGAACCGTTAAGAGGGTAGATGTCTAATGTTGAAAACTTTGTGTATAATGTTTAAAGTATGACATACATGGTAGGTGAATCTAGCGTTTGTGGAGCCGGGTTTATGTATGGCCCAACTAAACAAACACAAAAATTAACTAAGCAGCAGAACAAAATGAGAATACAGCATTTAAGACACAGTGTTTGCAGTGCAGTATAACATAAAATTAACAATATTTTGTGATGAATATATGTGTGATCATCATTACAATATTCATTGCTGGGTTCTAGATAACCTGCAGTGTTTGGTTTGTGGCAAGTAATCTTTATTGGAACCATGTTTTTTCAATTAAAGCTGGGCCATCTCGTTCATCGGAGAACGAGTAACTCGGAAAGCGACAGTCACAATGGCGTAAAGGTGAAGGAAAGCAAAACTGCCGTCTTACTTATAAAAATCATTATATGTATACTTAGGTAGAGAGCTGCGAAGCATTTGAGAGTCTATCTAGGACTACATTCGTCGTGGCGGCCTGTAGACGAAAACCTTTTCACTTTGACAGGGTTTTGGTGAGCAAAATGCATAGCACCACTTTAATAAATCAGTCTAAATCAAGTTGACGTGTTACAGCCCAAACTCGTAGTCGGTATGCTTAGAAAACCAAAACGCATTACCCCACCACTTATACAATAAGGAAACGTTTAACAACTGTCTTGCCTTTTAGAGATACGGGTCGTCCCATATGCAATCTTTGAGGCTAAGTACAACACATTCATCAAGATCGAATTCGGTGATCGGTTGGAATTGACTTGTGGTGTAGGTGCAACACCCCAGTAAAGGATGCGGATATCATCACAACCCGTGATTTTAGTAGCGAATGAACTTCCTTTTATCAATACGCCCCATTTCAAGCAGTCTAGCGATAGTGATGTGATACTGCTTGGCTGGTTGATATTTACGAAATTTGCTCATACGTGTTCCCAATGGCATTTGCCATCAAATGCATTAATGTATTTTAACTGATGATGAAAGCGATGAAGCAGTCGATTGAAACAGATGGAGTGGAAGGGGGATAAATCAGGTAGCTAATAAGAACTAAGCTGGGTAAATCGTCATTGATCACCCTGACTTGCCGAACAACCTCCTCGTGGCGCCAGCTGGGTGGTTCAGGATTTTCCCAATCCAGCTAATGGTTCGGCGGCAATGTTCCAGGACGTGGTGGGTTTTCGCCTGGTAAGTGTTCTCCCTATCAAAAGCCACATATGTCCGTTTAACAACACTGTGATGTGGCGGACGTGGCTCGCCACTAAATAACGTTACTGCCCCTTGCTTCATCCTGGTGAAGCATTGTATTCCAGCAACTTTGTGCTGTAATTCTGGGGAGCATTGGGCCCCTGTTTGACAAAGGAACAAACGAAAGGCGTATGAACTGAGCAATCAGTCATCGGCTCCCAATGGGCGCGATTCCCTGAATTCGCTCCGCTGCGTTGCGGGCAGGCTATTCAGCCAAAGGCTCCGGGTGGTGTCCCCTAAGTCAACACCCTACTTCGGCTTGGGCAACCGAGTAGTATCTCGCCCTCTGAGGAAACCATGGATTTTTATGTGTTGTATTGTGTTTTCTTTTACTATTTATTTACCTTCTTTTGAGTCCCATGGTTTCTGATGGCTCTTGTCTATTCGTAGACTTTTACAAAATATACCCTAGGCATAGGGTAGTGGACAATTCTTCTACCGCCCGTAGCGATCAAATTAAGCAAAACCTGGCGAAGTAAACGCGAAAATATTGTTAAACAGCTTTGGTAACCTACAAAAGCTTTAACAAGTGTGAGGAACTCTAATTTTTGCAATTTTTGCTTCGAAATTTATTTGACGGATGGTTTTTCAGCTAACTTATCAGCAGAGTTCGGGTCCTGAATACAGCTGTGTGGTAACGTGTCGGATTGTCATCCGTACGGCGGGGTTCAAATCCTGTGTGCATTGCGTTTTGCACTCGCTCCGGCGGTACATTTACTAAAACTTGTACGATACATAGAAGATCGCGATGGCCATTGCGCAAGGATGAGATTAAAAGTTTAAAATATAATTATGGTTATCTGCTTCAAACTCTGCAGGATGGCTTTTCCGCATTCCAGCATCATTCTTGCACCTTACCAAAGCATACGTTTGCGCAACATTGCTTACCAGATTTATTTGCGCGCCAGTTTTTCTTCATTTCTCACTCGTAAGACATTAGCAAGCTACCGCATTGCTTACGTGGCCTTCATTAATTATGGAGGCTCATACGGAATAATCACTTAATGTCCCGCATCTTCTGGTTTATGTGGTCTGACGGGATGTTTAGTGGTTATTTACTGCATAAAATTGCTCATATACGTTGCCGTTAGGCGGAATTACATTGTAGAACAACTTTACTTTTGAATGCTCGCCGTTCTTTAATCCACCGCGCGCATTCCAAAGTTCGCGGGGTAGAAGAGTTCCCCGCTACCTAGGATAGTGGTACGTTTGAACGTCCCGCCGACTGGCTTAAAATATTTGGCCACCCTAGAATCAGAACCCAAGACCCCTTGATGTAATTGAACATACGAAAGGCGGAACTCTCCTTTTCGGATGTGGTCCCAGTGATCAAAATAGCAAACATCAGCTTCAAGATAAACCGCAGCCCAACTGAGGTTGTGCGTCGCAATCCAGATACACCGCAATACTCTAAAATACAACAACGTAGAATATTTTGTTTTACTGCGGAACAGGGGTGTCATTGTTAATGGAAGAAGCCTAACAATATGAGTAAGCGTTATGAGCGTTCGGTATACTAACTGCCGCCTCTTTCATTTATATTGAATAAATCATCCGTTGTTGAAGGACAGGTTTCTGTAGTGGTACGGAAGTAATTTGTTGATGAAAATTCCAGTCAAACGGATTTTCGCAAACGCTAAGCTGCAGCTTTTCTGGCTGCATGCTACAACATCTCTGGAGCAACAGCACTAGGCTTACAAGTTGACAAGGTGAGCAGTAACACACGGTTCACAGGTCGAATTGAAATGTATGTATATATTTATTTATGGAGAGCCGCATGCTGAGGCTGATGTTGCATTCATGATGCTACTTCATCGCAGTTGGGCTAAATCAACTTACACTTAATATAGGTCTTTTTAATGTGGATACAATGCATTCCACTTTAGTTGGTTTGTTTTGCGTACCTGATAATCTTCTCCTAACTTGCACACGTCGCTCATGCTAATTGTGGTCAACTTGCGTAACTTTATCACTTGGTATTATTTTAAATAACTTTCGGACATTTTGTACTTATCGCGGATTCGCTTATAACCAATTTACTCCACATGCTCACTTAGTGCGTATTCGGGTCGTCGTATACGTTTACCTTATTCGACTTCTTTTATTCCACATCGACATTTCGAATGAGTGGCTGTGCTTGATATCCCCAGTGTGGCTGCGCTTGATGTGCATGTTGACAAGATACCCACCTGTCTATTACCCACTACCTCTTCGATACTGGCTCCAGGCGACAGTTGGTCATTGCTGGAGGGGACGGGGTGCACGATCCTTATGGTCCTGCTAGGCTCGAAGAATGGTTCCATACACTCAGTGTGGAGCGGACTACGGTCCAGCCACCGCCTTATGTGCGCTTGATTCCCAACTACAGCGTGCTTGTGCTGGCCTGTGAAGGAGTGTGGACCGGCTCTGTTGAAGAAACCTGGCTCCCATCCGCATGTCTCCCGGTCTTATTCCTTCGGGTTTACACTGGATATGGGGTATGTGGTTGGAGCTGTGGGTGGTACAGCGCAAGCCATCCATGGTCCCTCTGTAGGCGCAGGCGTCCTGTGGCTTGCCACAGTGACAGGCAAATCCGAAACCGGATGCCGCCAACCATGTATGTATGTGTGCCCCATGCTGAGGCTGATGTTGCATTCTTGATGCTTCTTCACCGCAGTTGGGCTAAACCAACTTACACTCAAACTAGGTCTTTTTAAGCTGGATAAATTTCATTCCGCTTTATTTGGTTTGTTCTGCCTCCCTGAATAATGTTCTATTAACTGGCCACGTTGCTTACACTAATTGCGCTTATCTTCGGTAATTTTGTTTCGTTTTGTAGCATTTTAAGTAACTTGTGGACATTTCTTACTTATCACGGATTTGTTGTTAACGCACTTACTTCATATGGTAAATTAGCGAAGAGTTATGCCACCGTATCTGTATGCATTGTTGGATTTATTTTATTTCAACTTGTCGTTTAAAGTGAATGGCTGTTGTTTGATATCCCCGGTGTGGTTGCGCTTGATGTGTATGTTGACAAGGTGCCTACCTGTCTATTACCCACTACATCGTTCATACTGGCTCCAGGAGACAGTTGGTCGTTGCTGGAGGGGACGGGGTGCACGGTTCTTGTGGCCGTGCTAGGCTCAAAGAGCGGTTCCATGCACTCAGTGTGGAGCGGACTACGGTCCAGCCACCGCCTTGTGTGCGCTTGATTCCCAAATACAGCGTGCTTGTGTTTGCCTGTGAAGGAGTGTGGGCCGGCTCCGTTGATGAAACGTGGTTCCCATCCGCATGCCTCCCGGTCTTATTCCTTCGGGTTTACACTGGATATGGGGTGTGTGGTCGGAGCTATGGTTGATGCAGCGCAAGCCACCCATGGTCCCTATATAAGCGTAGGTGACCTGTGGCTGGCCACAGTGACAGGCAAATAAGAAACCGGATACCGCCAACCATGGAGAAATCCGGAGAGGAAGGAGAGGGCGGACTTCAAGAAATATAATTCTTGGGTTTCTTCAATTTTGGTTATACCAGAATACTCACGGTGCATTTTGTATACATCGTACTTAATCCATGAATCGAATGGTCTGCCGGTCGCCTTGAAATGACCATAAGCGTGAACCACTGCAATACTACTATAATAGTTGAAATGACCTTCGACAGAGGTCATCCGGTGAGCGCCACAAGCCAGCTACCACCCACCCTACAAATAATTGTTCAACTTTCATCTAGGGAAGTCAACTGAGGGCATCTTGACATCAGGTGTGCAGAAAGCTTGCAAGGTCTACACTTAGCTTGGACGAAGGCAGAAAGATATTAATGTCAACCATCCACACAAAGCTGATAGGACCTCGAAGGAACATAAACGCTACAAATATATTCAGCCAATCATGCGGAACTCTATACAGTCGAACAAGTTGTGTTTTTTACAAGCGCCGATGCGAAAAGCAAACTTGTGTTCCTCTGAGGCAATTCAAACCCGATTTACATCACTACGGGGTGAAGTGACAGGTGGACTCAGTTAGGTCCCATTAAAACACAACGGCGTTTGCATGGTCCGAGTTCTGGGTCATTAAGTACTTTCGTAGAACGCGTGCCATCCAGTCAAGGATTACCAGGTCACTCGAGAGTAAAGTCTGAGGGCGGCGGTAGTGTCTGATGAGCCCTTCCATATTTTGTGAGGGTCTGTTAATAAAAACTGTATTACTTCAGAGGAAGTAGGATGAACGGTGAACCAGTCATTTCAGACTAAAAACTTACCACTTGCACGAAATGAATATCGCAGTGTTGGGCTGGAAAGAATCAACAATAAGAGAATAAATAAGCTACGGGTTCAGAAACCATGCGTACTCGTTACAAAGTGTACACAATGTTGAGGTCATCTATTCAAGGCCATCCTCTATTTGGGCTGTTTCAGCTAAAATAAACATGCTATGCACAAGCAGTAGAAGGATAAGTAGAAGATTTTGTGCTTTCAAGTAATAAGTGAATCTCAACACCAAAAATCGCAAGTGTGCAGTTTGTCATCCTTTTTTGCTTATTCATAGTTACATGAATATTCCTAATATGATTATCGGATTTCAGTGTATTTGGACACAACTCTCCACAAGGTAAAATACAAACATGAACGTTGTTCGTCAGCACTACCGCAGTACCTTGAAGCACTGCATTTACGAATCAATTCCACGTTTGGTACCGTCTAAGGGTTGCCCGGGGTTAATAGCTTCATCCCTAACCAAAGATGAAGACCACGAGAATCGATCTACCGTGTAGTACCGAATATAAGCCGTTAACTTTTGGACAATTATTTTGCTTCTGTAGTGGGGTACTCAGCATATAAAAGACTAGACGGAATTTGAAAAAGTCGCAGGAAAAATCCACCTAGGAACTCACTACCCTTATCTCCTCTTAGCACCACCCGCTAGTGAAGGACGATATTTCAGACGGGGATTTGAAGTACCCATAACTGGACGCGTTACGTTAATGCCGAAAATTCTCAGTAGGTTGCACATTGAACCTACGCGAGGAATGCTAGTAGCGCATCAAAAGCCATTACACATTATGTGATGTCAGGCGATCGTCCCACAACTCTGATCCTGGACTTCGCTCTAACCCACTGCTCTAGTGTGGTTCAAATGTCTGAAGCCACCTTACTACGTGAGGCAGCCTGTCTGACACACCTTCTCATCGTATTCTATATTGTCGGCTCTTACCTGTTTCGTTTGACTGGACATCTGGTCAATACATTGTCCACTGCGAGGAAAGTCTGTTCTGACGGCCCTACGCTTCAGTAACCGCGATTATAACACATTACGCTCACCACAACTGACTATTAGTAGAGCAGTGTCGTTGGTATCTGTATTGGAGGTATACAGAACCATTCCACATACGGCAACGGCAAGGACCCCCTGGGAGCTAATGCTGGGGCGAACAATTCGCACTCCATTAAATGCAGCCTTTACATCCGAAGAAACCGCCGATCAAAGAGCATACGAAAGACGGGCTGTTTACCAGGTTAAATATAGATGCGCTGCGAAAACGCATCCTCCAGGGACATTTGTTCGTGTGAGACTACTCCTGGCAAGGAGGTAATGTATTCGGACCGCCGACCCGTGTGGAATCTGTGTGCACGCCAGGAACTTACAAGTTGGCTGCTGCGACAAAGGTGAATGCAAGACGGCTGCATACAGCGCTTTCCAAAAGTGCTATTGAACAGGCGAACCCTACAACACAGCGCTCAGTACAAACTAATATAAAGTTACGACGTTCCGGTCGGATACACCGCCCTATCTACCGATACGCTTTAACGGATAACACCACATGACAATTCTTCGGGGTGCTGACATTAAATTAGTTCGTTCATGAACATGCAGTACCTATAGTTTTACGAACAGAGGAGGGGACAATGTCTTGTTCAAATAGTTTGCTTTGTTTCTGCCCTCGACTCGCCTATCCTACTCACACTCCTATTTAGCGCTCGTTGGCCTATCATGTGATCTTGCATTTGAATCGTTGCCATGTGAACCTCCAGCGATTAAATTGTACTGCGCGAGTTTGCGAAGAGTTTCCTCCATACATACGTTCCGGTGCTGCTCTTGTCTGCTGCTTTTTCGGGATACAACAAGCAGGTTTCAAGTGAACTCACTCAAATGAGAGAAGGTAGTGATGACGTCAAAAGCGTGGAGAAACAATTTCGTTTCTTTTGCGCTGATTTTTAGGGGTCGGCTAATACAGGGACTTGCAACTTTGGACATATTTGATGTTACGGATTTCCACTGTCGGCTTATCTATGGACGGGCTTATATTCAGTAACATACGGTAATTCACCGTTGAGACATTTAAGGGTCTAGTGTTATGAAATCACCTTTCTTGACTTCCGCTACACGCTGTACAGCCGTCTTGGTCATTAAGTCGCATGCCGATGTAGATTACATGCTTTCTTGGGATTCAAATAGACATACAAAATAGTCGAAACTCAGCAGCTATGATATCTGAATTATATAGGTAGATGAATAGGATGACCGACGATTGACAAAGAGGGGAAAAGGCGAAACTGGAACAACGGGGAAAAAGCAGAATGTCAATCAGAGGAAAAATATTGTAACAAGGCAGAAGCAGTGAGAATGCACAAGTTTGTTTGACGCAACGACAGTTAAACAAGCTGTTAAGCACGCTCGCGTACATCAGCCAAATTTTGATCCCACAACGCAAAATACATGGGGAATTACTACATATCACATTCATACGTCGTTACTCGTCAACTTTGGGGGCTTATCCGACATGTCTGATCCCGTATCTTTGCTCCTGCAACTCGCATTCTGACCAACTCACACTTTTCTATGGCTCTTGATTTGCTCAGTAGCTGTTGCGGTACGCTGATTGGAGTTATGGATGCACCGACGAAAACGTTTCTCTCTGGTTCATTGATTTTTCGACAAATATCTTCTCTCCTATTGTTGGCTCAGGCTTGTTACCGTTCTTCGCTCGTTCTGTGAGGCTTGCCTTGAGCCGTTCGATCTCGTCTATAAAGCCTGTCACTGATTCTGTCCTCGGTCGTTCTTGTGGCTTACCAGTCTTCCTCCTGGCGGTTTCCTTCCGCACCACTGCAATGTTAGTTTTCAATCCATAGACCCAATCTCTCCTACTACCACGAAATGCAAATATTGCGAGTACAAATGCAGAATGAGAGATTATCAATTCCGCGATATTAACCTTCATCAACCTGGAGAAATGTTTCTTTGTTCATTCATGCTAGATGATTATCGTAGCTTTTCCGCTCCGTTTAATTCACGCAGTCAAAACGGGCGTCGTATATTTTCGTGTAGAGCCTCATTCTTGCTTCCCACCGCTAATGGATTTAGGACATAAAATTGTAGGAACGAGATTTAGTGTTTTTCACATTATAGCGACACTATTTTGCATATGCATGGCGCATATATGCAAAGGCCAACCTGAGCCATGAAAGCGTGCCAACAGACAGCCTACAAACACCGAACACAAAACTAGTCCATCAGACGTTCGGAATGGATCTATACTCCGCGCCTAGAAGCAACAGCGGTAAAAAGCTAATGGAGCTATTGTAATGATACGTTAAATCAAGCCTTAGTAAATGAGCGTTTACACAAGCAAGCCTGAATATGTATCACTCCACTGATTTTACTCTAAGCTAATTTGTCTAATTAATCACACTTTCCGAGAGTCACATTTTGCCACCTGGTAACCTATACAATCATGACAGACAGAATTTTGTATACAGACAGACTTTTTGTATAGACTTTTGCATTTCGGGGCATACTTTTGTGGTGTCTTTCTCCTAGCTAGACCTAAAATTTCATAGACGTAGTGAATATGGTTTCCAGTTCACGAGCGTTGTATGGAAAGGATTAAATCCTCACCTTAGGCAAGTTGAGTATCCTGTTTCGCAGAAGATGGGTTCAACCTTGCTTAGAGCATCCCTAATGCTGACGGAAACGCTTGTCAGTTTATCCACTGGTTGGCTTGCCCCTTGCATCTCCTCTATGTCTGGCTGCACATCCATAACGATCTTTTCACAGGTCATAGTTTGTGATGAATTTAGAAACCCAGGTTCTTCAATGGACGTATCTACAACAGTAGAAATATTCTTAATAGACCGATACTCTGCCACGTATTCCTCAGTAACATCAGCTGCAGAAGTGATTCCTTTCTGAAGTGGAAATGGACTAGCAGACGCTGCCGTACCGCTTCTCCTTGGGTATAAGTAAACTGTGATCCCAGTTTTTATTCGGCTGCGACTGGTCTGAAATTATCAAAAGGGTAATGATTTAAGCATATTGGTTCTGTATGCGTCAAAAACGCTTGGGAAGTAAAGCAACGCGTGTCCCGCCGGGAAATCAACAATAAGCAAAACGGGAACCGAGATAACGATGCTATTGAATAAAGTAATCATAGAAAAACAGGCAATACCTTAACGATTCGCAAACTCAAATGCACCCAAAGTTCCTACAATGCAAAAGCAATCTTTGGGTCAAATCACCCAGGTCGATCCATGGAGCAAAATACAGTAAATGATCTCGCATAAAGCATAGAGAAACATGTAAAAATGTACACACAGGTCTTGGAATCGGACCAATATGGCGGATCAACCCGGCTTTAATCAGATCAATACAAGGTCGCATCGGGTCAGGACACAGCACAAGAATGGGCGTACGAATGATCGGATGATGTCATGGTGAGTGGAAGTGAAACATTGAATGGGTGAAGGTGCACGAAGGGACGGTAGAAAGACATGCGGGGCAGAACGCACTTCAAACATGGGGTGATGTCGCTGACAAGAATGAAGCGGAATACGGACATAGAGGAAACAGGGGTAGTAAAAGGCCAAACGGCAACGTCGATAAAGAACAGAGTTCCTGCAGAGGTTTGGCAAATGTAAATGTTTGGGCAGACGGGAACCGATTACAGGTGCTAATATAAGACAGGATATGCAGGAAAGTACGATGCCAATTAGTGCGTTGATAGTTTCATTTTGCGTTGATTTCATAACCATAATAATTCGGATGCACGTTAGGCCATACAGGTAACAACTTGAGCTAACCAGATAACAAATTCATCATTTATGCTAACAGGCTGCTCTTTCCGATGAACCAAATTGAGCCACGCGACTGTGACATGCGCGCACAATCGTGCGGCTGTTTCTTAGCCAAAAGCATATCGGACGCATAGTAGACAGCAACGTGTACGCATGTATAACGCACGTGGGTGTAGGAAAATCAATATAGCCCGGCGTTGCTTGCGTGTGAATTGTCACATGAGCTGTAACGGATTACCAGACGGGGGATGGGGTAGTAACTCGTGAACCTCTGAGGTCACCCACAGTAGGCTAAGATGAAACGGGTTCAATGTATGATAAGGAATTTGTGTATGAACCACAGCACCATTATAACAGAGACAGATGGCGAATAGGGCCACTAGCTACCCGCACCCTAACACGGCCGGTAGAACATTTTCCAAGCTAATCACCAGGTGCTTGTCCGCATAATCTATCGTGTGCTGTGGACACATGGCGTGCACGGGACAACAGACACAATACGAGTGGCACATTGAAGCGCGTGGGTCACAGGTTACTTTGGTCAAACCGACAAAGCGCATGTGCACAGTTGGACATAAACACCTTCACCGGTGTGATGATCACAGCGCAGAAAGCTTCCCGGCGTCCTGCGATCGCGATAGGTGACATATCAACGGGGACAATAAGCTTGTAATGCAGCTGATCTAGGAGTTGTCTTAGTGCTTTTCCACGGCTAACCCGCAATGCGGTTCAAAACAACGTGTAAACGTTACACTGAGTGGTGTTTAGTAGAGGCACTGAAGTGAATGCTCAACGAGTCCCATTAGTAGGTAGGGTGTAGACCACAACATCCAAAGATGATGGTGATACCGTAGTTAGCCGTATGTTAATGCTGCGGTGATACCATGATGTCCTATAGGTAGAGCAGTAGTGTTGCATTCAGTAACGAGTCTGATGTTTCAGGAAGCGTTTCATGATCCGTTTACTGCTATACTCGTACTGTTCCAGCGCCATAGGTAGTTTGTTGACACTCGAAAGTGCTGTTATCGCATCTCGACGGTTCGCCATATACGTTAATCGCCTCACCGCTTTGCGGGTAAGGACTTTAATCAGCAAGGCGCTGGCTTTGGTTACATAGGTTAACCCCTTACCACACCTGGGTAACTGAAAAGCTCTATGTGCGCACAACACACTTGGACATGAATCTACTTAATCATAGAATCGATGTAGGACACATACACGCCAAAATTATCCGGCGATATAAGACAAAAAGACGCGGACCAGGATGATGTACAAAATGTGTTTACTGCGCGCGCAGAAACAGCGCTAATTGTTTGGATTCCAAATAATAACTTATCCTGTGCAATTCGGCTAGAAATCTCCATACGATTATGCAGCCGCGAGGCAATCAAACACTGTTTGTTTGGCGCAATAGTGCATGGTTCCACGGGTTGTAGCCCGGACTGAGCCAAATATGAGTTCTACCGTCAACTCTCTGACCTACACCATAAGAATCATCGCAAAAATATCAAGGTTCTCATCGGAGACTTGAGCGCACCGGTTGGTAGACTTGAAGCTTAGGAACAAGATATCGGTAGTCTGGATTGCTATGGTATTCGTATGACGGATTTGGAAAGAAAATGAAAGGCATCAACCGTAGGCCGATATGCAGTACCGCCACTTCGGTGCCGCGCAACCACCACCTGTTGCACGGGGGCCTAGGGTATTGAGTGGGTCGCCCGGTCCCTACGCAGGCTCGAAGCCGCGTCATCAGATTACGATACAAGCTCGTTACATTTAGGCAACGGGATTGAGGCGATCGACGGACACAGATGTGTGCTGATCACGGTCGTGGACACAGACTGACCACATCGTCATCGAGTACCGTTGACGAGGCTGTTTAAGGTACAGCATATCAAGTTAAAGTACTTGGCTCACTTCTGATCACGCGATTGTGTGTGTTAGAATCCTCCTGCATTTTGTTTGCACCTCTCAACATCGTTGGACACAGCTAGAATTAGGCAATATTGTTGTTTCATATAAGCTGGATGCTTTTCGGAATTCGCCACCTATTCTTAACCACTCTCTACTCACAGATTTTTTGGCACATTAGACACATATCCGGAATGCCGTGCACAAATCTACTAATGTGATCTATGTGTTCACTAGGCACATCAGCAACCGACGGATTTTCGCCCAGTGCTCAGCTTATGGAAGATCACCGTACAATCACTGTAAGTCTGCGCTGAGCTCTGAACACCGAGCTCAAACAGCTCATCATGGAAGATCGCGGAGCCTGGTGACAGTGACGGCAATGACTATGCATTTTGCAACGCGACCAGCATGCAGCATATCCTCTCGCACTCTACTCGCTTTGTATTGATATGTGCTGTGTCTCCGAAACACTCATGCGAGATAACAGCGTCGTAACCAAACTTCAACTCCCTGATTCTGATTCTGACGACGATGACTATCAGCGTATTGATCAACATTGTCTGTTCGGCGTACATCGAGTGCGGCGCGGCCACCCAGGTGTAGTGCGTGGTCAGAAAGACTATCGAGTTGGGCATTCATGTCACCAGCACCAATAACAATGTTAGTATACTTGCCATACGAGAATAAGAGGAAACCTGCTGCTAGCAATTGCCTTTGATTCCCTCTGTATTCAGTACGGAACATAAGCTGAGGCGATGAAAAGGCCCCGTGAATTCAGACCCTGCTTATTAACTTTACCTGAGGTTCGAAGTCGCACCGCACACATGCGGCTGTTCACCAGTATCCAGTCGAGCACATTGCCTTTAGCATGTTTGCAGGGGGCAATCCCAACAACGTAAATAGTTTGAGTTAAGGACACAGTGTCGCCAGAGACGCGAAGAGTGTAGCACTCGTGGTCAGAACCAGAATCAGGGGGTCGAAGTGTGGTTAGGACATTGTTAGCTCGCATGAGTGTTTCGGAAACACAGCACACATCATTACCAAGCGAGTGACGTATGAGAAGCAATGCTGCCTGCTGCTTGCTGACCTAGAGAGCGGATGTGAAAAGAACCAATGTGAAGTGAAATTCTATGCTTGCTGCAAGAGCTACATATATTGATAGTAACAGCTATGAGATGAGCGGTGGTATCTTGCAAATAGATAAGGAAGAAGAGACGAGAATGATGAGTGAAAAACAAGAACAGGGTGTACCGTCGATGTGGCCGAGAGAGTAGATGATACTCTCTGACTGCCTATTTCGAGACTTGGATTCGGTATTTGGATTAAAATGCGATCACATGGCACTCCTCCTAGCGTACAAGTCACCAGCAAGTAACCTGTTTCCACTACCTTCGGGGTGGGGGAGGGGAAGAACACTGTAAATCGATCACGATGACACGGGCTCGGAGACAAATTCAGTTCGGTAGAAACAATGGTAGGGTAACCGATGCCTCAAATGCTTTCGCGCGAATGCCGGAAGGAAATCAGTACATCTGGATGCCCCAACCAACGCTCGAAAGTACTCCTGATTCTGGCGAATCATGGACATGTGATCAAGACAACCTCGACTTGGGTGAAATGCAGCCCAGTTCGGGTGCGCTGTGTTCAATACTCGAGTGAAACACCGTAGAAGAACAGAAAGGAGCATTCAGAACCGACCTATAGGAGGCTGATCCCCCGGTACTGGGCCTGATGTGTTTGCCTACATTAGGTGGAACATATTATCTCGCGATCATGGACCTTTTTTCGCCCTCATTGCCTCTGTGCCACACATCGATCGCCATTTTCAGCAGCGCCCAGTCGCCCGTACTGCTATGACTCGCTAAACAACTGGCTAACACATGCTGTTCACCGCCGTCGGGTTCGCATGTTTCCATGTTTTCGCTGATCTACACGTATGCAAATCTATTACCCGTCTACTCTTCAAACACAAACAACTCGGATAAGGGATTTCCGTATTCCATTGAGCCACGAGTTCTCAAGCTCTCACAGGGTTGTTTCACTGAGCAGAAACGTAACTATCTATGCTACACGACATTGCGCATTGCTTTCAAGCAACTGTCACAAGTACTGCATATTTCAACCAGAGTGTATAGTGCACTATGATCACCCACAAAGAAGAAGTAACAACACTTCCATTAAAAAACAAGTAGTTTACTGAAAAAATGTTCTACCTATCAGCTAGATGAATAACACGACCGTAATTCTCTATAACATGCTGAACCATCTGCTCGCATTGATGCTGTCTTACGCAT